ACCAGAAAATGAGATAGAAACAATTTCTGAAGTACGCAAAGTTAGAAAAACAGCGCAATAAACCATTGAATTCTGATAGACTTTGATATGCTGTTGAGAGAATAAAAGCTGCTGGTGTTGAACTGAAAATTACCTGTTTTTCTAATGACCATCTTTGCCTTGTTGTCTCAAGGGTTAACAACCCTCTGGGCTTTATATTTTGGCACCCGAATAAAAAAAACAACTATAAAGTTTATTAATTCCATCTTAAATATTATTAATCATATATACCGTTGGCACCCTCAACAGGCTGTAGAATTTCGGTACAAAAATAATTCTACCTTTATATGTTAATTAAGTTATAATCTACTCAGTCCAGAACATACAATTTATGCTTACAAAAACTTCATGAGTCCACACGAACGAAGATGTGGGCATCAGCTCTTGGCAAATAATATAAAGGTGTAATGAATCTTTACAAATATTTTGGCCAAACATAACCTCAGTAAAAAGTTATACGACCAAATGAAACAATAACAAAAACTTACTATAACCCAACCTTTCATCGTATTCGAGGTTGTTCAAGATGTTTATTGAGCAACACATTATTTGGATAGTTGCCTCTATAGAATAAAATTTATGAATTTCGTTGGGATCACCAGTTTAAAGCTGCTTTCTTTATGGAAATGATACCTACCATGGTGCTTATATAGAATCAATTCAATCTGCAGATGTAGCGATAGTGATGAAGCAAGATTATGAGTGATGAAAGGCTTAAAATTCAATGTGAAGAACACATAAGATATTAAACCAATGTACTACTTTGACAATAGAACTGTTCACACTGACATTAAGTGGTCGTCCTCTTATAATTTTAAATAAGAGTGAAGTTATACTTCACAGAATTGTCACTGTGATCAAATCTATTTTGTGATTATTCTTTACCAAAGGAGGCAATTTGTCTATATAAATTAAAAAAGAAGCGACCAAGCATTGAGCACTGTGGAACACCCATGATAGGTGTCGATCTATCGATTCAGGGAATTTCTTGTCACCGATATGAACCTCCTGCTAAGCCACTCGACTAAGAGAAACCAAAATCTAACTAGTTATCTCTAAATTCATAATATTCATAAGATTCGTTATATATTTCAGGAACAACAAAATTGACAGCTTTAAATACATCACAGAAAACACCTATATGACATATCCTGTTGTGTGAATTCTCCCAGGCATCAACAATTTGATCTTAGATTCCAATATTCATGCCGATACTGGACTAATGCATCCGTGTGAGGTGAACCGTAGCTGGTTTTATCATATAGGCCAGTTACACTAACCTGCCCTTTTCAGAATAGGATTGCCCAGACCCAGAGACCTGATTAGATATTCTAGAGAATCACCCGTTTCTCTAAATGTCGAGCTTGTCCTCAACTCCGTGCTTAGAGTTGAACTGAATTTTAAAATTTACGGTAAATCGTTTACCATACTCACGTCACAATAATCAATGCTGATTACCGAATTATTCACATCTTATTCTTTAATGCCAACCTCAGTCAGGAATAAAATTTAGTAACATTTTGGAGCGATTTTCAATTATTACGATAACCATATGCCAAAGGTTTGCGTCCGTGATGCCGTAAGTAGATTTTAAAAAAATTAAGTTCTATAATTAAAAAGCCTTCTGTTGATAACAATTAATGACTAAAATGACTTGACAAATTTTATTTCAATCAATTTACCAGTATCTTAAGAAAGTCAAAGAACGACATCTTACGAAATAGCAGTGCGATCGTATCAGTCACGTTCGAAAACTTGTCATGGTTTTTATAATAGGGTGTTATACTCTGATTGCAAAAGTACTTGCTTGGTACTTGTAAGTGTTTATAAACGACAGCAAAAATATTCCAAAAAATCTAAAACGTTTTCTTACCTTAAAATTAAATCACAATTCGATTTTTTTACACCCATAAAAACACCGTCTGCCATATTCATGACGTCATTCGGTTATGTAAAGATTGAAATATCAATAATAATAATAAAATAACAGTAATGTATAAACAGATTAAAATGTTTTTAACAATCGACCAATTTAACAAATGTAATGTAGGGAACTATGTGTTTAATATGTTTCAATTTTATGTTCATATAAATTTGCATAACTGTTTGATCCTGTATAAAAAAATAAATAAGATGTTATTCAAACGAGAACGGTGTTATCTAACGATCTCGACAAAATAATAATAATAAATAAGTTAAGAACAGTGTTATATCTGTTATTTTTTACAACTACTGACAGATGTCAGATTCAGAAAATATTCAAACGAAGTGTCGTCGCGTAATGGTGGGTTATGTTTTTAAGTCACTCGATGAACAGATAATAAAACTGGACCTTTAATTTTGATATGTTAAGATAAGTATGCAATTTTATTACTCAAAATCAGCCTAGGTATGATTATTTCAAAGCAAATTTCAATGATTCTGCATATTCGTGCTTTACGTTTCACTATTGAAACTACCAAATACACTATCGAAATTACCAAGTATGCTTAAAATTGTATTATTTTGGTTGCAAATACAACTATAGTCTATTGAGTATCGTTTAAAATTGTGCACTAATCCGGAACACTGTACCTTTACCTTACAGAAAAATCTTCGGTTTTCATTATCAATAATTGTATGGCTACGCCTGTTGCGTACTGCAATAGTTTGCAAACCAGTAAAGGATATCTAGATGTATTTTTGTATCAAATTACCGCGAAATTTATCCAGTCGTTTTTCCATGAAAATGTCAAAAATAATATCTATACAATTATTAAATTATTAATTTATATTTTAGTATAAATACATTAATAATGTTTTATATTATATTTATCATAATAAAAAATATTGGGTAAAATAATTAAGATAAAAAAAAAACATGTAGCTTGGTTTTGATCTGCGGCACAATGAGTACCTAGCGACCAGCGAATAGGATATTGCGCCACACCAAACACTAATAAAGATTGTGAAAAACCTGTTCATTATTATTTACTACATAATTTTCAAATTCATTCAATAGTAACTAATTCCCTTTTTTATATCTGTTTTATAAAGTAATACCTATAATTGAACTATTTTCTTTACACGATATTATTGATTAGGAATTATTTTTTACTAGAGTTACGGTCTATGGGATGGTGTTTGCATGAAAATGTCAAACTTTTGCAAACACATACTTTTATGGAAATATTTACCTATTGTCAAATTTTATATTATATATTTTTAAAGCAATTAAATTTATTAAATATACTAGATAAATTAAATAATACTGAACAAAATATAATAATAATAACAAAATAATACTTAGTTACTGAATAAAATAATATTCAAAATGGTTTTAACGAATTATCAATGAATAACTTATACCTATGAAAAAATAAGAGAGGAAAATATATTAGGAAAAAGAAGAAAAACTAAAAAAAGAAATGTTTCTCTGATGGGATTGGAACACGAAAATGTGTTTTATTTGAACTATTTCATAAATATCGGAATTTTTGTATGAAAATGTCAGTCTGGCTTTCGTCTACGTCATACTAAAGAAAAATTTATTTTCGCATTTTATACTGTTTAATAATAAAATAAAATAAATAAAAGTTGCTTTTTAAAATTATTGCAGAAAAAAATTAAAAATAAGAATAAAATAATAAAAAACAACTTAAAAAAATGCGAGGTCTAGTGGGATTAGAACTTATAACTTCGAGACACTCGGGTCCCTTCCCTAGTACATTACACCAAAGATATTGTTAAAACAAGCGCGAAATTAAAATACTTATTTAAAATGTTTTTTTTTTTACAATTTTAGCGATCTCGGTACGTCAGAATGCTGCACAAAGCAACATAGGTCCATCTAGCAACACGCCTCAGCGTGAACTAAGTTAGTGTGCGTTATTCTATAGCCTTCCCTGTCAATTGCAGTAGGAGTGACAGAAATGTCAATACTTTAAAGTTGCTTGAAAAAAATGACCATATGTGCCATATCACAAAATAAATTATATTAATTATTATAATAACATTATCAAAAATTGGGAATAACCAACTTTTATATCAACCTTTGATACATATTTGTACTCAATATCATTACTCTAATGTATCACATAATTGAGAAACGTGCCTTTCGCAATATTTTTAGATGCTACTTTGGAATTATTTTCTATCGAGTGAAGTTAATACAATCATGTTTCGGTTTCAACCACAAGATCAGAAATACGATCAAGTATAACCACAAATTTTTGGATTACCATAGGTTTCCCGTGAATTAGTACAATCCTAGATCAATTTTATCGATTTGGCACTATTCAGCCTCTTAAGGTCTTATTGCGTAAGCCAAGAACATACTCTACGGAAAAATTATTTCATGAATGTAAAGTGCTTACAGTGAGGCAGCTGTCGATACTTCGTATTCTTTTACGTAAACATTCATCAATACCTTTTGATCATAAAATAACAATGAGGAGGTCGGGAGCTCCTGTTTGTCATCAAATAAAATGTCGGACTTCGTGGGCGAAACAGCAATACAACGCGCTAAGTTTAAAACTGTACAATAGAGTGAATAAAATTAAACCAATACTTTCGCATACAAAGCTCACTGTGAAAACCATTATCGAAAATTTGTTATTGTCATTTAACTATCACGAAACAGAGGACATGTTAAAGTAGGCAAACCAAATAGAATATATATACGCACACAAATACGACACAGGCAACACGCACACACACACACACACACACACACACACACACACACACATAGGTTTACACACAAAAGTTCTACCGATACCGATATATATATAAACAATGGTTGTAAAATGTTCATTGTCGATAAGAGGAATCACTGACTTCCAAAAAACACATTTAATTCTAGTTTGGGGGTCAGGGGCTCACAATAATTTAGGTGCTAATTTGTAACCAAAAATGCAACATTATTAATTTATTTATAATTAGATTAAAAAGGGTAATAACTAGTTGAGCAGTTCATCTGTTTAATATTACATTTAATAACGATTTTATTCGGAAACGGACATCCCACGCTTACATAGTTTCTTTTGACAAGTGACAAGGTTTTTAGGGTGGGCCCGGCCCATCCAGGCTCCCCCTAGCTACGCCTATGAACTACTAATATAGTTTTCACAATAAGTAAAGCTGATTTCATTAAAAAATAAATTTATTTAATGTCTTTCATTTCATAATTACTTAACTACGAGGATATTTTAAAATATCGTTTTTTTTCGTGTTCGCGTTATAAAAAGGTCAATATTGACGAACAAATTGGCTTTTTACGAACATTGTTGCAATTAACTAACAAACTAATGTTATTATATTATTGTAACAATATTTTGGAAATAATTCATAAATATATATATAATTTAAAAAAATCTCTTGCATTTTATGCTATCCTTGTCCTTGTATAATATTTTCTAATGACGTCACGCGGATGTTATTTAGACAAGGTTCCAGCGCATTAGCAATTTGCAGGGCATAGTATAATGCATTCTATCAAAGGACCAGTAAAGGAATAGATTATTTATTTAATCGAAAACAATGATAAAATTACGCCTGCAAAATTTTATTACTGTTATCATTTGAAGTGTTTGCTATAATATTCATAACAGGAACTTTAGAAATATTTGACGCACTATTTATTTACATTATAATGTAAGAATTAATTTCATAATCAGATAAATGATTTTTGAGCGTAGAATTATTACTTAAAGTGTTTTTAAATTTCAATAAAGGTCAGGTAAAATAAACAAGTTATTTTATGTACACTTTTATTCATTCGCAACTTAAAACTAGCACGATTACGTAACGTTACAATGCACTCAAGTTGTACATACAAAAAATCATTCGAATCTCAATAAATAATTAGTGAAACACCCAAATACTGTATTAAACTTACATTAAAAATATTAATGGTAGTATATAATTTAATTAATAAGTTTAAATTAATTTAAAAATAACAAAAATATAAGTTACCAAATTTGAAATGCATCCAGTAGTGTAAACAGATCTATACTCAATAGACGTCCCACTGTGGATGTACCTCAAATCGTCGAGATGGCGCTGTTACGTAAATCCGACAAAGGAGGTTTTAACCTATTTTCGAATCAAAATGGCGCCAGTGAGCTATGCCATCATGACCTAACAACTTTACTAATGAAGAAAAAGCAACAATGACAAGATATATTTTTATAATATTTAAAGTTGATAAATGTGTTAAGGTTGAATTTTATTTGTACTATTCTTTATTTTTGACAAGTATGGCTGTGCCATAAAAAGAAAGGTGGGAAAATATATGAATGACTAGAAGAGAGGGTGATTTTAATTAATAAAAAGTGAAATAGAATGATATGGGAGTAAAATCGAAAAGTTTGGTCAAGAAAAATATGGTGAGTAGTCATATTTTTAACTACTATTGGCGCTCTATGTAATTAGAGAGATGTGCTTAGAGTGCACAGAATTTTTTTCTTCTTGTTTTACTTACTCAAAATTCAATGTTTTTTTTTCAAAAATTATTTTTTCTGATCGGGATAAATCCACAAAACTTAGCACAATATAGGACGGAATATACTAAAACCCATGTTAAGACAATTCAACCTAAAATTTTCAGCTCACTGGTTTTATAAGACTAGATTCTCCGGCACACCTGAACTTTCACGAGTTATCTATTTTAGCTCCGAATTCTTTCTTATCACCGTATTCTTCCACGTTTTCACTTATACTAGTCGCCACCGATATTTCTGTAACAGTTTCACTCTTATCTTTACTATCGGAGCTGTCGCCGAAGAATATAGCTACGTCGTTGTCTACGTCATCGACGGGTCGGACGTTATCAATATTAGGAGGGGGGACCACTATGGTGTGAGTGACAGAGTTATCAGCCTTCAAATCGCAGTCCGCGGGAGGTACGTCACCTCTGTGATGCTCGATCTCGGATCGGACAAAGTTTCGGATGGAGCTCTGCGTTTCCAGATCGTTTTTCTTGTCCTCGGTTCGGTCTACCGGCTCGTAACCGGCCGGGAGGGTCAGACCGCCGGCATCGAAGTTCGTGAAATCCAAAGAACCGGCCTGCTCGAAGTTTATTTTTTGATCGTCAGCTACTTTTACGTGAGGCGGCCGAGAGGGCTGCTCTATCGCTTGCAATATGCTCTGCAGCAAGCCCTCCGACAGCAGCTGCTCGTGGGGAATAGACGGATGGACGGTTTTGCCCCTGCCGTCCTCGGACGATTGTATCTGAACGGAGTACCCGGGGCCCGAGCCGGAGTGCTGGACGAATCGCTGGTTCGAGTTCTGGTCGGAGACTATTCTGTGGCGCAGCCGTTCCGCTTCCTCGCTCAAGTTTTTGATCTTCTCGGAGGTTTGCTCTATTTGCTGGGCGACGTACTGCGCCCCGATTCCTTTTTTGAGACTTTCTTCGGCGCCCTGGTTTTTGATGGATTTCCCCCTCGGGGGGTCGGTCTTTCCCTCCTTCTTCGCGTCGTCCCTCGGCAGGATCGTCTCTATCGCCTCGTGCGACGCGGTGGACGAGTCGCCGCCGGCCTGTCGATTCTTGGAGAGCGTCGAGCCGAGGGAGCTCAGGCTGGCCACGTACGAGGACGCCAGCTCGGGCGGGACCTGCTCGCCCCTCGCGGCCGCGCGCATGATGGCCTCGTGGTAGGGGCAGTGCTTCAGCACGGCCGCGGCCTCGAGGGGGCTCAGCGAGGCGAGCGGCGAGCCGTCCGGCGCCGCGGCCACCGCGTCGGTGTCGGACGGGGCGGCCGAGTGGTCGCCCACGGTCAGGAGGGGGGCCGCGTACGAGTCCACGGGGGACCCGTACAGGTTCGCGGGGCTCGGCTGGAGCGGGTGGAAACCGATCGGGTTGCCGGCGTGCGGCAGCGAGTACAGATTCGAGGGCGTGATCGAGAGCGATATTCCGCCGTCGCCGGGGCTCAACTCTTTCACGTCCCGGATCGGCGGAGGGAGGTAGGCGGGGCCCCGGAGACCGTGGTTCAGCCCGTGGACGTCCTTGTGGTGGGTGTGGTGGCCGATCGACTGCAGCAGGCCTTCGGGGACGCCCTCGCGGAACTTGATGGGGTGGCGCGGCGCGGGGCCGCCGAAGGGGGGCGGCGCGCCGTACTGGCCCCCCGGCGGGACTCCGTATATCCCCGACGGCGGGAGCAGGCCCTTCGCGCCGGGCGAGCGCGTCGCGGGCGGGTAGCGGCCCCCGGTCAGGGAGGCGGGGGGCGGCGCCCCGTACGAGTCCCGCGGCTTCTCCGGGCCGGAGGGCGGAAGCGCGAGGGGGGGCTGCGCGCCCGCGTTCTCTATGTAGTGCGCCTCGAACACCGTCTTCGACTGGTCGATGTGGTTGGAGTCGCCGCCGACGATCGCGTTCAGGTCGACGTCGCCGAGCGCGTCCTGGTGCACGTGCGAGTATCCGGCGCTGATCTGCGCGCCGGAAAAGGTGACCGAGTTCGCGGCGGTCGGCAGCGAGTGGCCGTCGAGGTTCGAATGCACCTCCTGGAACTGGGGCGGCGGGGGCGGGGGCCCGTAGTGATCACCGACGGGGGCGCGGTGCCCCGGGGGGGCGACGTGGAGGCCTTCGAGGCCGGGGATGGGCTTCCAGCCGTCGTAGAGCACGTGCGGGGGCGTGGGCGGGGCGGGGATGCCGGGGTGGGGGGGCCGCGGGTCGGGGTCCGGCTGCGGGGGCCCGTAGTGCCCGAGCGCCGCGTCGTGGACGACGAGCTGGTCGTTGGGGCCGACGGGCCCGAGCGAGAGGGCCGGGGGCCCGGAAGTGTCCCCCGGGAAGTTCGGCTTCAGAGAGATCGGAGTCCCGTAGACGGGCGCCGGGAGGTTGAGCCCCGAATCAATCTCGTTCTCTATTCCGAAGTTGGCGCTGACGCTGCCGCTGCCGAAGTTGATCGCGGGCAGTTCGGGGATCGGGGGCAGGCTCGGTAAGCTCGGCAGCGGGGGACCGTACGTGGCCTTCGGGGGTCCGTAGATAGGTTTCGGCGGCCCGTAAACGGGCTTCGGCGGGCCGTAAACGGGCTTCGGGACTCCGTATATCGGCTTCGGCAAGGACACTTTGGGCGGTTTGAACGGGACCCCGTATATCGGTTTCGGCAGATTCGCCTTCGGCGGGCCGTAGGTCTTCTTGGGTGGGCCGTATATCGGTTTGGGGGGGCCGTATGTGGCCTTCGGCGGGCCGTAGAGTTTCGGGGGGCCGTAGATCGGTTTCGGTTTTCCGATCGGCGGCGGGGGACCCTCGTACGTTTGACTCGGGAATACGACGGGGCTGGGGGGCCCGTACGCGCCCGGCGGCGGTTCCTGGGGGAAGATGTTGTTCTGGAAGTTCGGCACGCCGTACACGGGAGCCGGCTGGTTCAGTTCTGGAACTGGAGAGACGCATAATTAATTTTATAAACAAAGAAGAGTTACGAATGAACCGCATTGTGTTATTAATAATATGCGTTTATTATTTATGTTGTTGAAAATTTTAGTGTGTACTGTCAATTAAAGATAAAATAGGCAGAAAAAATATATTCTTATTAAAAGAAATGTAAATAAAACACTCACTGTTGTTGGGTACATCCCTGGGTGGACCGTACGCGTCTGACGGCAGCGGCTCCCCATACGAGTTGGACAATGCAGCTTCGCGCTTCTGCGCCTGCGCACCTGTAAATATATTATAACAGTAAATATAGATCTATATAGGTATGTGGCGACTGATACATAGCGACATCTAATTCATCGCAGTAACATCGCCACAACAATCGATAGCGAGAAAACTAGCATCGTCACAGCCATCGATAGCAAGACGAACTGCAAACAGCATAAATTAATAACTACAAGGCATTAAGAACAAAGAAACCTACATCGCACAGAATAAGTTTCATTACCAATTAACATAAATAGAACGTCCAACCTACATCGGTTGGACCGCGGTCCCCGGGCTAACCACACCTAGCTCGGAAGGAGACAATTATCCTTTAGTCTCCCTGGCCAGTTGTCTCCATCACCACAGTAGGAACCACACATTAAACCTTACGGTTCCTAAATCTCTTAAAATACACGACGGATTTAAATAAGATTATAATCAGTAACCAGATTCAAGAGGAAGACTTATATGTATGATACGGAACCACGCGGGCGAAGCCGCTGCCGGAAAGCTGTAATAAGAAACGCATCATGTTCATTTTTACTCATGAGTGCTCGAATGATAGCTAATTGACATTAAATATTATTTGTGGAAGTATCCATATTAAGTATTTACTTATTACATTGATTATTTTTATTTCAGCTAATTCTTCTTGTCAGGTAAAAGACGCCTTGAACGGGTGGTAGAGGAAAAATTTTGGATGATTCACGAGTACTTATTTGAATGAAAACATTTTTAACTACTGTGATAGGGTATCGAACAACTTAATGGAGTCCATTTAGAAAAAATATTTATATCATAATTAGTAGTGCTTTGGTAATGATCGTATACTTACTTTTTTATGCTATGATAGTTTAACAAAAATGTTTGAGATTATTTGAATAATTGCCTGCTGCTTTTTGCAATAGTTTCTCGATTTGAGGTTTCTTTATTTCTTTATTCGTCTGGGAAATGAATGAATCCCCCTACATTGGAGGAAACACCTGAGGAAAGTTACCCGGGAAACCGTAATCGAGTCACCAAGACACTTTTCATCATCAGGAGCCTCTTTTAGACAGGCGAAGTCATGAAATACCGAGGTGGCTGCTCAACTGACTGAGACAGAGAGGGAATGCGACGATGCTTACCTGAGTTGGATGCTTCAGCAACGAGATCTTGGTCATTGTCTTTTAGCACGAGACCCGCGGGTGAATCCTCAGCTGCTACCAGGTACAATAAGCACCACAGCACCACCTGTCGGCAAAAAAGGTATACCAAATTAAAAAAACTATTTTTTTTTAATTCTTTAGGTTTTACCATAGTAAAACCAGAAAAGTACGGCGACTCGAGCCCTGGCCCCTAACCGAGAGTTAATAGGTTAAACACGTAAAGCTGTCGTTTAAAGTTCAATCGTTGGAAACCCATAGTCAATCAGAGCAGAGTATGCACAGGCACGGCATAGTTACCACTAGTATCGATAGTCAACATCGATAAATTTTGTAAGTGTGTGCGTGAGAATACCGCACTCTTTCATGCGGTCACATACAAACTATTTTCGGTCCGTATGTATTTTACCGTGTATTGTAGGGAATCACCACTTACCGTTTTGGGTATTTATTTATTGGTATATAGTGTGATATTTAACTAATGTGTAAGTTGACTATCTGACTATATTTATACGAAGGGTCGGTAAAATGAATGAGCGTGTTCACAGGTATGAGTTTACAGACTGTTTGATGTTGAATGGCCACTTAAAAATGCATTATTGTTTGTTTATATTACAAATATCACAGATTACGTCGCCACAGAGTGGAAGACAAAGATTATTAAAGAGATGTACCACAGTATGAACGTACCTCTTTGGTTTTACAGTTGATATTGTTTAGAAAGACTGAAGAATGCATCTATAAGTAGATATATAGGCTTTTGTTATATAAAATTGATTTAAAAGTATTTTTAAATATTAATTTTATTTACTAAGCTTTTAAGATGAATACAAAATTATTATATTCGATCAATATCGTAATCACAACGGTATACTGGAAAATGTTCTTAATGAAATACGTAGATCCGGGCTTGTAACGTATACGTTCGTCTTAAGGCATAACAGACATTCCTACAGATTTCCGCATGCAAACTTTTTGTCCTTGATCATCATTATCATCATCACCAGCCCTTTTACGTCCCCACTGCAGTAGCTCAGACCTTGCTTATGGATGTTCAAGGATAATGGGCCATGCCCCTCCACGCTGGCCCAATGCGGATTGGAGGGTATTAACGACTGCAAATGCAGCCGGGACCAACGGCTTAACGTGCCTTCCGAAGCACGGAGTAGCTCGAGATAATAATTTTTTGGTCAGCCATCCCGTGACCGACCCTTGCGCAAGTTGCTTAACGACAACGATCGCGGGCCGCGGCGCTTATCCACTACGCCACCGAGCTACTCTTTTATAGTATATAACATCAACATTTAATTTTGAACTTTGACGAATTGTATATATTTAGTTGCGTCACCGCTAATCCAATTTTTTAGATTCAAGCTGAAACTCAGTTGTTTGCTCTAGAAGCAAACATATTACTGAGCTTCTGTTTTTTAGCATCGTTCCGGCACACATGTAGAGTTGTGTATGTTTTTTATTTAATTTTTTCTTCTTTAATATTTAATCTTTGTATTCATTCAACTTTATAATTACTGGCATGTGTATGTGTGATATATGCGAATAAAATTATTATTCATTCATTCATTATGATTAAAATAGAAATTATATATTATTTAAAATAAAATTATATCTTGAAATATCGTCCAAAATTACATATCACGGGAAACTCAAAAAGGGCTATGTATTCGTTCTATTTAGCAATTGTAATTTTATATTTAAGTAACTTACGAACTGTTTTTATATTCATTTTTTGTTTGTTAAAGTCTTTTCTTTACCCTTACTTATTTATTATGAAATAAATCAATTCTCAGGTTTAGTCAGCTTTCCATTAAGTCACCCAAGCATCGACCCCGTAATACGGCTTATATCGATAAAGAAGATGAAATATTGTACCAATATCTAAACTTCTTGATGTGGGTCAAGGCAAGATATATAAAGTTAATTAGTGAAAATCTGTCCACCAATGTAAACGCGCCACTTCTAACATGTCGGACGACACTAAGGTCAACAGCCTCGTTTATTAATTGCCCTTCATATGATTCACGGCGCTGACTTTGACCGCGTGAGGCTTGTAGGTGGCGTCACTTTCCCTAACCGCCTCCCCTACATATCGACATGAAAGCCGCAAACTAGACCATGACTAGTTCTGGGACATATAATACCGATATCGATAACTGATTTCGTAATTAACATTAAAATTATTGAAAATCAACCGTCTGTAAGGCCCTTTATTTCAAGAACGCTTGAAGGTATCGAAGTTAAAACTATATACTCTTTAGTCTCTTGAAGCTGTGGTAAATTTTTAATGTAAATATTTTAAAATATCAGCCATTTGTGCAGCATAAAACGCATATTTAGACACTTAAATTAATCAAAATTGATAGGGTAATTGGAGTAGATTTGATATTTTTGAAGACTTACATAGAGTATAACTTCGATAGCTCGCTGGTCGTATTCATTATGTTAATTCTATAATCACTTTCACACACACAGAATTTTGAAATATATTTAGAACACCTTTATTTATTTTATTTTGATTTTAGCATAGACAATGAGGAAGTATTTAAAAAAGACATTAGTTTCCGAAATCAACCTGGCCATACTAAAGTCTGAATAAACTTAAAGGCTTTTTTAGTACCACTAAGAGGTCGAGGCCACTGTCGGAGAGCTAGCAATATAATATGTAAGCCAGGGCGAAAAAAATATATAATGTGGAAGTATTTAAAATAAAGAAACTACAAAAATTATGTCACTAGATGGCAACACGAATTGTTGGATTCAAACGTCAATTCATGACGTTAAACCAAAGAGAATAGAATTGTCAGTGTTGTTATGGATCTGATAACTCGGATTAATATCGAGTTGAAATTTAATTAGTTCGAGTTATGCAAACGCAACTCGATTAATACAAAGTAATCTTTGAATAAATTTGAAAGTTAGATATTATAAGAAACAGAAAACGAACTCATATTTATTAATTTTCGATACTCAATTTACTTTCATTACGTCAGAAACAAAATTTGAAAGAATATCAAACAAAATCTAAACATCGCGAGTGACATCTAGTATGATTTCAAGAACTAATTTTTATTATAAATTCTTCCTCATTCCTATCGTCACAGAATCTATCGTTAATGACACAGCCCATCACTAGAGCGATATTCCCACCATTGTGATCAGTATTACGCCACAGACTAATAATCTAATTACAGTAGAATCTGTGGTAGATCTCACGATGTACAACCTCCTTCCCGCTTGTGGGAACTACGGATAACGGAAGTGGCTACCGTGAGAGGTGATAGTTTTTTTTTTAAAGTATACTTAAATCTACCATGTTAGTGGCGGTGAAAGCTATGGTTTTTTTATATATCTTAGAGAAAAAAAATGATAATTAATAGTCTTTTTACGTTCAAGATAAAAAAGCAGTCAATGAGGAAGTATTTAAAAAAAAACATTAGTTCCCGAAATCTAACTAGATGTCGCCATGGTACATTCTTGATTTCCATGACAACCTTTCCGTTTTTTTTTTCATGTTTAAAAGTAAATTAGTTTTCAAAACTCAATAAACAACTCATATTCTATTTGTACTTTTTCGTATTTGTATTGATATCTAAGTTTCGAACTTTTCAAATTTCAGTTTTTTAATATGTCAGTTAAAAGGAACGGAAATGACTGTCTTTGGTCCATTCGTTTCTTGCAAAAATCAACTTTTGCTAGAGTCGCCATCTAGTGGAGGTGCTTTTTAGTGCTTCTGTTTTTTTTTAATACTTCCTCATTTAGGACACTAATTCCCATTTTCACTAAAATTAGGAGTCGTCCAAATTGATCGCATAAATATTTAGGAATCGCCTAAGGTAAATATGCATTTCAACATTGACTAGGAACCAACTAACGAAGTTAAGCAAAATTTAAAGCATTTGCGTATATGACAGGTCATAAATATGTCAAGGTATAAAAGAAATACAATATTTATTTGGAATTAAACTAATCCGCTATTAGTCATATTAGGTGTTAAGGTATGCCTTGTTCTTGGTTAGTGAAAATGGATGTAAGAAGTTCTTAGTAAGAACATGCACAAGTGCTTGTAACAACCCAGACTAAGTAGCTTATTTGAATTTCTTGGCCTAAACCATGCCCAAACTGAATAAATGACATTAGATTCTAATTTGTCATTATCTAAATACAGTTTTATCAAAAGTATTTCTTTTGTTCGACGTTTGCGACTTAGATGGGAGCGTACACAAAAAAAAACACAAAATATCAAATTGTTTTGTATTAAAGTAATAAAGTCAAGTCTTCTATTAAGTTTGATATTGTTAGATTCGTTTTCACTTTCACTATGTGCGCGCGCCTGTGGTTAAAATCGTGATGGGTGAATTAATTTTTATTATTACGTAATAATTTGTGGTTTCAATTGTTGGTTTCGCTGTTATTTGTATTTTTTGGAGTATTATAGAAAAAACTATACCTATATATGTCGAGTGAGGCACAACAACCATTTTTTAAATTAAAAATCTTGTTTTTTTTTACTATATTTAAACGCTTTTATTTTACTCATGCTACTAATCCTTATCAAAATAAATTATTTCATCACTAAGTACAGTTTATGAAGATAATATTGGTCTTTGAATGATTAAAATTGGACGTTTGGTTTTGAAGTTATGGTGAAATTAAAATATTACTATTTCTGCTGCACGGCCCGTTGTGAAGTGTCACCAAGTCGGGGCCAAGGCGGGGGTGCGCGTGCGGGAGGGGGTTTAGATCTATTAGTAAGGTACCAACGGACCGCGCGGGCGGAAAGCTAGTGATTATATATAGTAGCTGTCCCCGCGACTGCGTAGATTATAGCCTACAACCTTATGATGTAGCTTCCCATCGATGAATGAATTTTAGTGGTTTCGGAGCCTATTCGATGCAAGCCAACAACCTAATATCGCACGTTGAGAACGATAGTGACACAATGCAAAAAATGCGATTTTGAGCAATGAGCGTTTAAAGTTCAAGAAATTGTAATCGGCCCCTCT